TTTGAGAATGATGAGGGCAACAAATGTACAAATGTGCTTTACACAATTGATGTATGTATGGATTGTGATAAGAGTTGTATGAGCCCCCAATGAAATGATTTTTTTTAAAAAGAAAGAAAACATGAAAATAAAAAATAAAACTTTAATTTTAAAATGCTCTGACTGCCCCACAGCGCACAACCCGCTGAGCAAACTGGTCAAACTGGTGAGGGGTCAGCGTGCCAAAAGGCAACAAACAAAGGTAAGAATGGGGCAAGAAGCAGAAAAGGAAAAGCTCAGCACTGGAAAGAATATTACTGGAGACTTGGCTGCATCCCTAGTGTAATGTTAATGAATCTTTGTTTTTGTTCAATGGTTTACTTTTAAATGCTGGTCTGAGAGGTTGTAAACAAAGCTTGCTGCATAGTCCAGGAAAGACCTCTCAAGGTGAAGAAGAGAAGACTGGGATTTGACTAGTGACGCATTTTATTCAGCTAGTGCAGCGTATTAAGTGACAATTGTTACAGGGTTTAAAACCATCTAGGTGATCAGGCCCTAAGGGCTCTCTTACACTTTGTCCACATTTGCAGCACTGATAGATCGGTCAATTCGTGACAAAAGACCATGGTAAAGAAGGTGGCTGTGATTGGAGCTGGCGTCAGTGGCCTGATCTCCCTCAAGTGCTGTGTGGATGAGGGACTGGAGCCCACCTGCTTTGAGGGGACTGAAGACATCGGAGGACTTTGGCGGTTCAAAGTAAGTGAGAATTGCTTACTTCTTAAACAGGTTGTGCTGTGCTTTGGGGTGACTCATAGCTACTGACTGATCTTATTGAGGGATTTCTTGAGCAGCTTTGATGCTATTTAATTCATGAAGCTATCTGGGGACTGACTCATGGGCTGGCATGTCTTGCCAGATCAAATACTATCCCCACCCTGGTGCACAACCCAGGCTTGTGAAGGATGTCTTCTCTTGGACCCAGCAATTGTCTTTTAGTCAGTACTTTTGTTATTCTCGAGGAAATACACTTACATTAGAAACCATTTTAGGGATGACACTTGAATGGCTAATAAACACATGAGAAAATGCTCCTGGTTATCAGCCATCTGGGAAATGAAAGTCAAAGCAACCATGAGATACCACCTACCACCCATTACTGTAGCCCAGGTTAAAAAACTAAGAACAACACATGTTGGAGAGCGTGTGGTGAGATAGGAACTCATAACCACTGCTGGTCGGCTTGTGAAGCCACTCTGGAAGGTGATATGGCAGTACGTAAAACAGAGGGAAATTGAACTACCATATAACCCCACAATACCTTTCCTGGGCATACACCCCAAAGAAGTAAGAAACAGATCACGAGCAGACATTTGCTCCTCCATGTTCATCAGCACAGTTCACAATAGAAACAAGTTGGAAATAGCCTAAATACCTATCAATAGAAGAGTAGATAAAAAATACTCTGGTACTATATACATATAGTGGAATACTACGCATCCCTAAAAAAGCAGGGTTGAAACTATGAAACACCTCAAACGCATGGAGGAATCTGGAAGGCATTATGCTGAGTGAAGTTAATCAAGCACAAGAGGGCAAAGACTGCATGAGCCCAGTGCGGTAGGAAGGAACAGCAGAATAGGCACAAGCTCAAGCTTGCAGGCCACCCAGTCTTCCAGTCAGGGAGCGACAGCCTGGTAATGAGGCAGACCAGTGCCAAAGAACCATCACCATTCGCTCCAGGTGAGTATAATGTAGGTCACTTGACCAGAGGGCATCTCATGACAGCTGGGATCAAATGGTCATGGAAAGGTGGGGATACTGTCAGCTGAGTGGAAGCCACGTGGATCTGGAATGAGGGCCTGCAGAGAGGGAGACAGCCCTGTCAGAGGGAGGAAGCTTACTGATGGAAGGGACAGCCACACGGAAGTAGGGAGAGGGAATCGTCAAGTTTGGGGGGAACATAGGTGCATGTCTGTTGAGGGGAGGGGAGAGAGGGCTGACCTCCAGATGGGGGGAGGAGAGACTGAGGATGTTCTTGGGAACATTCAGTGGGGAGGGTCTTTAGTGGCAAGTAGTGGGTGGGCAGAAATGACCTAGGGCATCTGGGGGTCTCCCGGGAACCCAGGTCGGGTACCATAGAACACTGAGACACTGACTCCTGCATTGCTGGTGCACATAGCATACTCCAGATGCTGCATAGGTGAGACCCCACACGGGAACCCCACTGGGTGAACTGGACTTTACCTCAGACCCACTTATAACCCGAGGACTTGGGCCAGAAAACACAAGGCGTCAGAGGAAGCGGAAAACAGCTGTATCCAAAGCGATGTACTGTTAGTTGGTGGACAAACAAGATGTCGCTACACCAATGCCCTGCATGCCATATTAAGAGATGTATTATTCCGACAATCCTGAGACGGCCATTCTGTTATATTTTGCTGTACTAGTGTATATTACAGTATGTCTCAGAGGGGCGCGTCATTGGGGTCACCCTCTTGAAGCTGTGTCCTTTATTTCGCTCTTTCTCAGTAAATGAAGCCCAGGATGTTGAGCCTCTAGAGCAGTGGTTCTCAACCTTCCATATGCCATGACCCTTTAATACAGTTCCTCATGTTGTGGTGACCCCCAACCATAGAACTATTTTCGTTGCTACTTCATAACTGTAATGTTGCTACTGCTAAGAATCAGGCGACCTCTGTGAAAGGGTGGCTCAAACCCCAAAGGGGTCGCGACCCACCCCACAGCTTGGGAACAGCTGCTCTAGAGGAAAACATAATAAGGGTTTGTTTACCGGGGAGGAGTGAGATAGAGAGGTGGGGAGATAAGAAGGAGATGACATCAAAAAGCCCAGGAAGGAAAAGTATGTTTGGAGACTGATTATGGAAGCAATTGTACAATTATGTTTGACATTATTGAACTATGGAATGATATGACAAAAGTATTAACTCCCGTGTTATAGTAAATTCAAAGGGGAAAAAAATAGATCCAGGAGTGGGTGTGGGGCTCCCACTAAATCCTAGACCAATTAGTTCTTAAGAATAATTAGTTCTTACATCATGTACTCAATACTCACCTTCATGAAATGATCCCTAAAGATAAGGATGCTACAGCAAAGTGTGGTGAAGAAAGTGGCATAGTGTCTGGGGTCTTAAAGAGTTGTATTCAAACAAGCAGCCATCTAAGTGAGGAGTCAACTTAAGTCCACACAGAAGAAGCACGCCAGCTTGTATGAGCCAAAGATGACAATTACAAAATTCGAATATAGTGAAGATAAAAGTATCAGGGCTAGAATTATGAACACGCAATTTGTGGGAGGCTGTTGAGGATGATGGGAGCCCCAAAGCCATTTGCAGAGTATCTAGTCAAATCAGCTGCTGACAGATCCTCTCTAGCCATGGGCAAGAGTCCCAAACAGCCTAACTCTCAGAGATGATTGTGATCTTGATTATGCTGAATCACACATGGCACTTGGCCAGTTGACCTCCCTAAAGACCTGATCTGAAATCGTTCTGGGCGCAGACTTTTTGAGTGTTGGTGGGAGTCTTCTCACTCTCACATATTGTTTCTATTTTCATCTCTATATTAATATGATCTTATCCTAACTGCCTTGGTGCAATCTGGTTTTTATTGTTTTCTGTTGGGTTTCCCAGTGATAAAGCACAGGAGGAATGGATATATAATGATAATAACTGATACAATGGTATTATAGGGAATGCAGGGATGGGGGTGGGCAATAGTGAGGGAAAGGGGATTTCGGGAGTGGATAATGTGGGTGGAAGGGGGGAAGGCACTTGAACTGATTGTGATTGCACAACTCATATGGTGAATTAACCATGCGAGAGGGGGGATACTCTAAGATAGATGTGGTGGTGATTGTACAATTCCTGTTGATAAGATTGAATGATTTATCATACTCAATTGTATGATATGTAAATTATGTGCCAATAAAACTGTTGGGGGAAAAGAACTGTTAGGGAAAAAAAAGAGAAATCAGATGGTGCCCTGTTATCAGAAAGAAAATCGTCTGGGATCTTACAGGTTTGCTTTAAACAAGCAACCATCTAAGTAAAGTGTCAACAAAGTCCACATGAAAGAAGCACATCAGCCTGTGTGATCCAAGGGTTATAAATAATAAAACCCAAATCCAAAGAAGGAGATGGTATCAGAGCCTAAATTCTGAACCTTTGATTTGCAGAAGGCTGTGGATGACAGTAGAATCCCAAAATCCATTTATAGGGTCCCCACCTGGATTATCATCTGGTGAATCCCCTCTTAACATGTTACAGGGATGTGACTAGCCATGCTATCAGACAGAGAGCATTGGAAAGTTGATTATGGTAGATGTGGTTAGGTTAAAATGTAATACTTTATATCGTTTTATCTTCCTTTTGACCTATTTTAAAGTTGTTTGGGTTTTTAATGTTTTCTATTTCCTTTATATTGAGATTTTTATGTTTTGTTTTGTAATTGTTGCTGGTATTTTGTTTGTGATTTGTATAATTTTCTGTGTATAGAATACAGGATAGGTAAATCTATAGATTAAATGGATTAATAATTACCTAGGAACATGGAAGGAAAGATCGGGGGGAGTGGGAGCTAACAATGAGAACAAAAAGAAAATGTTCTGAAATTCATTGTGGTGGTGACTATACAACTCTTTTTAATATTATTGAACAATTAGATTGTATATGTGAATGAGATTCCAATAAAGCCATTTTAAAAACTAAAAAAAAAAGGTAGAAAAGAAAACATTTTACAAAGTTACAGATGTGACAGAGATCTTTTCAAGACACCATCTCTACTTCCATCATTGAACTTAATGCAACTTCAGAGTGCTACAGACTTATTCTTCATGCATGTTTCCTTGTTTTCTTAGCTTCACTGCGTGAGTCCATGCTTGTTGGCTTAGCTTCACTGGTGACACTTACAGCTGCTAGGAACTATTGATTTAAAAGATCCATTCTGCAAACCCAAATATTTATCATGTTGGCTGTCCATCAGAATTTCTAGAAGGATATATAGATAGATGTAAGGCTTTATAATTTAACCCTTCTTAAAATTAAATGCATACGTAGGAGTTCACCACCTCTTCTCAGTAAGATCTTGGGCAAGTCATTTACATCTCCACATCTTAATTTTATCGATTACTTAATAGGCATAATTACAGTAAGGTGTAATCATATCATATAACTATGTAGAAGAGTAAGGAAGGCAATTGGTGCAGGCTGCCTATTTGTATTGTATAGATGAGCAAACAGACACAGAGGGAGGTTGAGTTCCCCAGCCACCATCACACCTAGAAGAAGGGCCATGCAAGCCCATAAATCTATGATGCCTGCATGACTAAGCTCCTCCTTCTAACCAGACCCCAAATCTGTATTCTTCCTCCAAAGAGTAACCGAAAGCTGACACTCATAACTCAATAGCAATGGCTTTAGGTTTATGGACCAGGCATACTGAAGTAGTACTGAAGTACTAAAATGGGGAAGACAACTCCAAACAGGAACAAGAGATATAGATGCATGAGAAACAGACTTTCATAGCAGAGAAATCATCCAAAGGACTCCCTTCGAGCTGACCTAGTTTGGGGTGGCAAGGGCCAGCTAACAGATGTGCTTTGCCAATGCAAATTGAACCAGGTATCAAAAAAAAATCTTTAAAAATCAGGTTTCTCAAATGTATATTGTCCTCAGTCTAACTTACAGGTTTTCTAAAAGATACTGATCCCTGGGCATCACTTTACACCTAAAGAATCA